ATGAAGGATTTATGTCAAGAGTAGATCAATAATTCTTACAACTTGGTAAAAATTTTGAATCAAATTTTAAGAATGAGTAATGCCTTAAAAAAGATATACAAAAAAAAAAAAAAAGAAAACCTGATCTATTCAATAGAAATTCTTCAAGATCATTAGTCACTAGACAAAAGCAATTGAAAACTCTGGTCTCTCTAACACACACACACACACACACACACACACACACACACGCACGCACAAAACCCACACCACTTGAATGGTGGTTTTGGTCTAATTGTATAGCTTAAGATTTTGATTTTGGTCATTTTAAGAAAACTTTTGTTGTGCCCTGAATATGCCAGACACTGGGCAAACACCACCAAGGTCTCACAGTCACCCACCTGTGGAGATAAGCACTCTTACAGTTGGGAGATGGAGGCACTGAGAGGTGACCTGGCTGACTCTGGGCCTGGGAAGGGCAGTGCTGGATCTGGATGGGGGTGTGCTGATTCCAAAGCCCCTGTGGACACACACACACCACACTGCCTGCCTAGTCCCACCCAGGCCACAGCCTGTCCTGGGGACTGGCCCCCCAGCCTGTGCGATTTTAGGAAGATGCTCAGCAGCAACAAGGGAGTGGCCAAAACTGCCCACGGAGCAGGGCTGGCCAACAGCACAGCTAGGCTTGTCCCCCACTCCCAGGGCAGAGGCTGGGGCAGGAACCACAGGGTGTGAATTCTGCAGCTTCTGGGTGTGTGTGTGGAGGGAAGCAGGGAGGCTCCTGGCCAGAGGCAAAGCCTTCTCCCAGCCCCCGAAGGCCAGTCTCCCTTGGCCCTGTGGCCAGGACTCCAAAGTGGGAGTGGAAGAGAACCTGAGAGCTCTGCTCAGCCCTTGGGCAGGGTAGCAGGGAGCTGAGAGTAGGAACAAATTTGTGGATGGCAACACTGAGCCCAAGTGCAGGGCTTGAAAACTATGCCTTTCTTGCAGGGAATGATCAGGCCTTTATTCCTGGGCCTTCCCACTCCCTAGAAACAGACCTGCCATCTCCTGCCCAGAGGATCTCGTTTTTGCCTGCCACCATTCTGGGGACTGCTGCCAATTTTGCACTCAGCCAGGTAAATGTAGAGTTCCCTCCGCTGAATGACACCCAGCCCTACCTAGTGACAACTCTTCCTCCATCTCTGCATGGGTGGTTGTGGGTGACCCATCCTGATGGGTCTGGGTCTGAGCTGCTGCTTTGGCACTGTCATTCTGCATACCCGCAGTCCCACTTCAGGGCTGCAGGCTGCTGCTGCTGCTAGCCTGGTGCATTTTTGCATGTAAATCAGGCTGCTTCTGGCTTTCCCCCTGTGCCTTGGAAGAGGGCTTTCTTGAGTCAGTTACCACGGGTCCCTCTGCTTTCCAGCATGCAGGCCCTTCTTACAGTGGGCCCCTTTTCCCTTTACATTTGTGGGCTTAAGGGTTAAGAAAAATTAAAATTTCTTTATGATCATTTTCGATGGGTTTTGGAAGAGAGAGTAAGGAAACATGGGTGCTGGTCTTCCATCTTCACTGGGACTCTGCCCCTCTTCCCTTTGGTTAGGGTCAGTTGCTACCCAGCCACAGCCCTGTCTCTTAGGACCCTGTGTGCACTCAGTGCCTTTGTCTGAACGTGAGTGTCTGGAGGCAGGTCTTTGTGAATGAAGGGCACGTATACAGTGGCTCCAGACCCACCTCGGCTTCTCACGCGGAGTCCCTGGGCTCCCAGCATCCTCTGCCTGGCCCTCTCCTGGGGACGTTTCTCCTGCAAACATCTGAGGCCCAGGTTCTCGGCAGGCTTTTCCTCCTTCCCCATGTTGGTCTGATCCATTTGGATTCTTGTTATTCAGATAACTTAAGGCTTATCTTAAAGTACTGCATTCCATGGGTTTGGGGTGGAGCTGGGAATAGCTACAAGCGCTCACCTGGCCATCTTATCCAGTCCTGCAGCCAGTCAGTGCCCTTGGTGGTTAGGGATGGAAGTTATGTCAAACATAGAACGGTCTGTGCCCCACTAAAATTATTTACCCATATTGTCTTCTGGTACTTTTATGTTATTTTTTTTTCATATTTAAATCTTTAGTTCTTTTGAAATTTTTCTTGGTGTTAGGTGTAAAGAGGAATCTAGATTTTTTTCCCCCAATGTTTAGCCATTTGTTCAAACATTAGATATTGATTGGTTTTCTGATTTGAAAAAAAAATATTCTTTGTTAATTCAAGTACCTTCGTATGTATTATCCTCTCATGGGTTAAATTCTCTGATAATTTCTGTTTTACTCTTGGCAACTTGTATACATTTATGTTCCATTAAATAAATTTAAATATAATTTGGACACATTAGAAACCCCATTAGAATTCGGGTGTGCTTGCATTATCTTTAGATTCTTTTAGGGAACCCTGGCATTTTAATGATCACAGGTCATATTTCAACCTCTGAGATGGGTCTGAGTTATCCAGCTAGCTGAAGGAATTGTTTTCTTTCAGTTGTAATAAAGTTGTCTCAACATCCCAAGTCACACCTGATAGAAGTCCCAGTGGCTTCCCAGGCCCTCTGGGTTTCGTGGCACGGAGGCCTTGGTGTTTAATTCATCCCGAGTCAGTTACGTGTTCTCCTTCCATGGAATTCTTGATCTCTGCTTTGGCTCTGACCCCTGCACATCTGTCCTTTCTCCAGCCCCCAGCACTCCACTGGAAACCATCGGATCTTTCCACTGGCACCAGTGCGAGGCCATGAGCGTGCTGGATGGGCAACATCGGGGAGAGTTACAAGTCAGCCCTGAGCCGGGACATCTGGACCAACAGCCAGGCTGCACCCTGCAAGGGCCATGCTTGGTCAGTTGCTCCACTGCTCTTCCTTAGGGAAGGAAAAGGCTGGAGGATGGAATTTGGGTGATCACTAAATGTGGTACAAAGTTGGTGAAATACGAGTGCATTGTTTTTGAAAAGGAAGTGCTCAATAAATAGGAACTGTTGTCACCATCACCATCATCATCATTACCATCATCATCATCATCAAAGGGCTGGTGGCTACCGAAATAGTTTACAGAATAATGCAGCATAAGGACTTTAAACCCAATACTGGATGTGTTGACTCTTATAGTCATCCTATTTGTCCTTTCCCAGGGAGTGTTCTTTAGGCTCCAGCTGTGGCCCTTACTTTGATCTCTTCTCTTCTCCTCCCTCCATCCAATCTCATTACCTTAATTACAATGGATTACAGCAGGCCCCAGATTTATCTTTCCCAAATTAAACCAGCTCATCAGGCTATTTTTTTGGTGGTGCTGGGGATTGAGCCCAGGGCCTTGTACATGTATGACAAGGACTCTACCAACTGAGCTATATCCCCAGCCCTCATCAAGCTATTTGACCAACCAAAACCAGTTTTTTTTTTGTTGTTGTTGTTCCCAAAAAGGAAAAAAAAATATACCTTTATTTTATTTGTTTATTTTTATGTGGTTCCCGGGATGGAACCCATTGTCTCATGCATGCTAGGCAAGCGCTCTACTACTGAGACACAATCCCGGCCCAAGAACAGCAACATTTAACTTCTTCTTAGACTACAGAAAAATTCTATGGTCCTGTCTTGCAGCTCACATTTTTACACCTGTACACCTTATATCTAAAAGGTAACATGGCTCCATTTTCTCAAATCTCTTTTACTGTCCATCAACAGAATTCTGTTGTTTTCCTTATATAGCCGTCTTGTTAGTTATTCTATATAAATTGTTATTATGCATAAAAATTCTCATTTATTATATTTTTGAACTCTTCATTGTTAGTATGAGAAAAGTTATTACTTTTTTATACATTTGTTTTGAAACTGGAATTTTATTACCACTGTCTCATATTGCTTCTAATAGTTTTCTCAGCTTATTGTCTTGGGTTTTCTCTGGTAGATAATCACTTTATCTGCAAATAATGTTGACTGTGCTTGCTCCTTTCCAACATGTAGCTTCTTGCTTGGTTTTATTGAGCTGGTTTGGACAGACATAATGTAGCACCATCGACAATAACCCACCAGCATTTGGGGACTCTACTAGCTAATATTTGGATTAAGATTTATAAATGAAGTGAGTTCTGTAGTTTTCTTTTTAGTATAGTTTTGATAGGTTTTATTACAGTGTTTTTCAGGTTTTATAAAAACAATAAAAGCAGCCCTTCTTCCTCCGTGTCCTGAGACACTTAAAATCATTTCTGTGTTATCTGTTCTTTGATGGTTCATCTTGGGAGCTGTCTGGAACTGGCCCTTCAAGAGCTGCTGCTCCACAGAATCTCACAGCCAATCTTAAATTTCTTTTCTTGATACAGGAGATTAATTTTCTTGAATAATTATCTATAGCATCTAGATTTTAAAATTTATCTATGCATTTTTTTTTCTGTGCTTTCTTTCGACCAATTTTGGCTATTTATTTCTTCTCACTCCTTTTCCCTCTTAGACTAGGTGGATTATGACTTTTCTTGCGTATTTTTCCCCAACTATCTTGAATAATTCAATTCTGTTTCTAGGTATTTCTAGTTCAAATTCTATTTCATGTTTTATATTTATCATTTGCTTCTGCTTTTGGTTTGATATTCTTTGCCTAAATTCTTGAGTTTTGTGATTTATTTACCTCATTTTGCTCTTTTTTTTTTGTTAAGTAACAAAAGAGTTTAAAGCCATAATTTTTTCCTCAAGGAATTTTGCTTTCACACTTACATTTTAGTGTGCAGTTCTTGTTATTTTAGCAAAAGGGGAATTTGAGAGAAAGTGGTATATTTCCCAAGTGGTTGGGAAGTTACTGTTTGCTTGCTTCGCTTATTTATTTTTAGATTTATTGAATCTTGTTCAGAAAATGTGATCTGCCTTTTTCCTGTGTTTTAAGAGATGCTGAGTTTGTCTTTGTGGCTTAAAATGGAGCCCACTCCCAGAGTCCAAGGATCTGTAATTGTTTTATGAGCACTTGAAAGAATGTGGGTCTTTAACATAATAATATAGCACACATATGAACTGCACATACCCATCATGAATGAGAGATGCAGAATTTTATTTATTTTTTTACTTGCCCCTTTTATTGGTCTGCAGTTGATTCTACAAGGGAATGGTTCTCAAAATGTGGTCCCTGGACCAGATATGTTCAGCATCACCTGAGACCTGGTTAGAAATGCAAAATCTTAGGTCCAACGCCAGCTCTGTGAATGAGAAACTCTGGCTGGCACTAGCAATTTGTTTTTTAAAAAGCCCTCCAGGTGATAAGGCTACATACCATGTTTGAGGACCACTAAGAGGAAGTATGAGCTGTGGATCTCATTTTGTCTCCCTTTGTCCTGAGGAATTATTATTATTATTTTATTATGATTATGATTATTTTTATTTTTACAATGACTTGAGAAAATGTCCCAGATGTATTACCCAGTTTAAAAGTATACTGCATAAACTATATTTGTAATATCATTCCAGCTTTGCAAAACAATAATTATATATGCTCATAAGAAAAAGTTCTTCAAGCAGGAAAATTTCTGAACATTTGAAATGCCTGAAAAGTCTGTGTAAGGGCCCGAGCATATTGAAGGGTCAGGAACTTGCATTTGTCACCAGCCAGCCTGGGTCAGAATCTTAGTTCAGCCACCCAAGAGCTACATGATCTTGGCAAAGTTGCATTATATTGTTTTTTTTTTTTTTTTGCATATTGATGAAATTTTCTAAAATAAGTACATAAAGCTTTTACAAAAAACTAATCATAAACCACAAAACAGTAAAGGAAGAAGTGATAAGGAAGAAAACAGGGCAATTAAAAAAAGTTTAAGTAGCAAAATTTCCTATCAAAGGGGCTGAAGTAGAAAAGAGAAGTTACTTGACTTGGATAAAAGTTAGACTGAGGATTGGCTTGAGGCAGGGCAGGACCGATGGCCCTCACACCTTGCTCCCCCTGTCTCTCAGCTCCCCACCTGGCTTTCTCCTCTGCAGTGGCCTCAGATTTCACCTCCTTCACACTTTTCAGGCAGGCAGAATTTCCCAGAATTCCCAGTGGCACCCTCATCTCATTGACACTGTTTGAATCATATGCCCATCTCCTAACCAATCAGAGTGACAAGGGAAAATACAACATTCTGATTGGTCAAAGCCTGGATCACTCATCCTCCAGAATTAGGGATGAAGCCAGCTTTCCCAGAACCCTATAGACTGACAGCAAGTGAAGGGGAGATGCTTTAATGGGAACATCTTGGCAGCAGTACACAAAAGAAGCTCTTTGTCCATGAAAAGTGGTGGCAATACAACTCTGCCAACTGCTCAGGCACATCTTGTGGCATCCCTGTCACACCTGGAGTATGGCTTTAGGAGGTCTTCCATTTCTGTCCACAGTAGCAATGTGGCTGTATTGGTTTGCACTGAACCCAGCCTGGGCCAGACAACGAATGACAGGTGCTCAGGACATGGGGACCACAGGCTCATTGTCAATACCCGTCAGTTTGTGCTTTCAGCATTTCACAGAAGAAGGAGTCCATAAAATGGCCTTCCTAAACTCTCCAAAACTTCATTGTCTGAGTCTCTGTGGGGATGTACAGAAAAGGTGGGGTCAGGGGGAGGGATCTTCACTTCTGTGCAACTCAAGTAACTCAAAGTGCAGCTCTTGGGCGTCTTTTATGACCTCCCAAAGAAGACAAGAGACTGGTATGACAATCCTCTTGCCAATTCGCGGGGATGTTTTATCGTCGTTTTACAGCTGGATATCTTCATCCCAATTCAATATCCTGGGGCTAAATAGAGTCTTCATTTTATGGCTGTTGTGAAACTGTATTCCTGGAACAATGACAACCTCTGACTCCTCCAAAATCATGACCAGTTGAACCCACCGTGTTGTTGGGATTGGCAATAAAAACAGGTTGGACATTAAGCAGATATACCTGCCTCTCAGGCATCACACAGGTGCCAAAAGATAGACCGATTGTGTGGATCAAGCTCCCAGCACAGGGAGGAAAGGAATGGAATGGAATTCCCTTGGGAAGTTGGAGCCTCAGGGAGTACACACCAAATAAACCTCCTGTGAGCAGGCCGCCCTTCTATCTGACAGGGAATGGTCTAGTTTCCTTGGACTAAGAAAATATGGAGAGAACCTTAGCCTTACACTTGGTTAACACATGAACAAGCATATGGTCCTGGCCGGAACCCATGAAGAAGGCGGCACTAGACGGGGCCATACGTACCTTGTCATTTCCTTAAATAAAGTGAGATTTCATTTCCTGGGTCTTGTCATCATTTTTATCTTGCTTCTGCCTCTTCCCTATTTCCTGGGCTTGGAGTGGGTTGCTGGGTTACCTGAAAAGAGAATTTTTCAAAGCAAGACACTACATTACAATCAATATCACGGTTTATATCATATCATTGCTATGCCAGTCACTGGGCTTTAAGTATACGGTCTCGGAATCCCCACAACTCTCCAAAGTAAGTACCATTGTCGCCGTTTTCAACAGGAGGAATCCAAGTTCTGTCTTGTTGGATGATTTTCTTAAAGTCTTACAGTTCTCTGTGATGAAATTAGCTATGGAACTAATCCCACTAAAACAAGATACGGTTTCTTCCCATCATTATCTTTCAATTGGTCTTGGCAAAATGTAGCCCGACTCCATGTTTATCTCGGATTTCTAAAATCAGCAGTCTTGAGGGAATTAAAAGCCTAATCCTTGAGGGTGACTGGTCGTCTGAGAGAACCCAGCCTCCTCGAATCTCCTTCTTCTGGAGACTTCTATGGGGATCCTTGGCTTGAGATCTTGGCACGACCATTAGAAAGGACAAATTTCATGCGCCCCCCCCCCATCAGAGCATCTCGGTTCCCCCTTTGTCTGGCTTCTGTCTTGGTTCAGCAGAGCTGATGACCACAGAAGTTCAGAGTTGGGCCTTGGCCTGTGGCTCGACTCCACGGTTAGCCCTGATCCTGTGCGAAACGCTGATACTTCTGTTGTGGTTTTACATTTTGAGGCAAGTACCAGGTTAAAACCAGCAGCTTAAAACCCAAACAGTGTCAAAACCCATTGTGAAGTGTCGACCCTCACGTAGGAAACCAGATGGCTTCTGCCCTCGGAGGGGACGGGGGAGTCCCATGCAGGCTGGCCGACCGCAGCGGGGGATGTGCTGTGAGAGCCACCTCTGTTTGTAGATCTTCAGGAGGAGTGGGGTTGGCTCGTCTATTCTTCAAATAGGGAGAACAAGATGCTTCCCATCAGCGGAGTCCTCTAACTCAAGCTGTGACGACTTCTCTTTACTGGACAAGGGCTTTTCAAGAATTATTCCAAAGAGGCTGTTCCAGGATTTGTAACTGGCATCTGAAAACGCTGCCTCGAGGGAAACCCATAAAGCCACAGATCATTCCGGAGACTCCTGTCAGCTCTGTCCGTACGTCTCGAACCTCTTCATTCCTCCGAGGACCCGGGAGGGATCCCTCTGCTCCCTCTTATGCCTGCTGGAGGGCAGGCATGCTCGAAGCCGTCTCCTCCGTGGAACCTCAGACAAACCATCAAGCTCCTGAGGAAAACTGATAAACTTCCCCACGGCGAGAGGACAGAGCTTCCCCGCCTGCTCCACGGCTGGTTTGTTGATTGAACCATCTTTTGAGTCCCCACTATGTGCCAGATGCTGCTGGAGGTTCTGGGGGTTTGAAGAGAGGAGGCCCATCACCAGTCCACAGTCTGGCTGAGGAGAAGAAGGAAATGACTTGAAGGCTGACAACAGAGAGAGGCTCTCAGGCTCCTGGCCGACTGACCTGGGGACAGTGAAGGAAGTGATGACCAAAGATGGCTTCCTGGAGGAGGCGACCCTGATCGGAGCTCTGAAGGACAGGAGAAGAGTTAGCAAAACGTTTAAGACAAGAGGAGCCGCCTGAGTGAAGGTCAAGCGAGAAGGGAGATGCATTGTGGGGGCTGTAGCAGTGTAGGCCATGGCTCAGGGGCAGGAGGCAGCCATGCTGGCTTAAGACCAGTCCCTCATCTTTGGTCCATGGGAACGTCGTAGCACTGAGAGGCATCTGTGCATGGAGCTCCTTGTAGCCATAGTAGCCCACCCAAAGACATCTCCACGGTTATGGCCATGTTGCTGATCATCAACCACAATCTATTTTGGATTCCCCAAAGCCCATGTACAGACATGCATGTACCCAAAGTCTCCCTAGGTCAGTGATAAGTGAGGGAACGTGAAGGCGGGGGGACTTTGGGTCTAAAAGTTGTCTGGGGGCTGGCAAAGAAGGTCTTCTAGCTCAGGTTGCATTTTCTTGGTTTTTCCTTTGCTGTGCACTACTATCTTTGGAGAAGAAAATTAAGAGCACACATTTTATACCAATAGCGCGTGATTCTTGTCAGAAGGTTTTTCATTCATGAAAGCCAGAATCTCTGTTGGAGTAAAATTACTGAGCCAGACCCACTTGTCCCCCTACTGACCCTCAATTTCTTTATGCATCCCTCTACGTTCACTTCACACTGCAGAAGTATCCAATCATTCTTTCTGAATTCTCCCTTTTCAAAGGGGTGGAGAACTGTCATCCTACTATCGAAAATCACTGGTGATCTCAAGAGAGTCCATGCATCAATACCTGCCACTTACTACCCCCGGGGCTCAACTTTGTGCAAGCATTATTCTGTGTCTGGGCACCCACTAACCATGTCCTATTTTGTCCAAAGACTGAATGATTCCGAGGGCTCACCATTAGCTTGTGATTTAGGTATGATGATTTCCAATTTATAAACAGGAAGGGTAAGGTTCAGAAAGGTAGAGTTTCCCACCGTCATTTAGTTGAGAAATGGCAGATTCTGGATTCTAACACAGGTCTTTCTGGATCTGTAGTTCATGTTCATTCTACAAAACTAGGCAGTCATCCGCCTGCCAACTCATTAAATATGGTTCATGTCAATCAGAGCAATCCTCTGTGTGGACGGCTATGGCAAAAGTCGTGGTGCCAGGTAGTGAGATTGTGGACTTGGGGAACCTTTCATGACACATTTTGTCACCTCCTAGTTGCCTCTGTCCCTGGAGCTGTCTCCTTCATCTGTATTCTGCCGGGCCCTCATTCACCCGTTCATTCCACAAACATTCTTGTGTTTACTGTATTCTAGATGCTAGGCACATTGAGGTGACTCCCACAGCTCCTGCCTCCAAGGATTCTAGAGTTCATCACAGGGTTTATGTCACCTTTGTGACTACCTTAATGACAAAGACAGTCTCACTAGTACTTTATTTCAAGCTCCTGACAAAACACCTGTCTGAGGGTAGGCCTGCAGTGAATGTTGGTGGTATGGGATGGGTGTGGCGTCCAGCTGAACGATGGGTGCTGTCTATCAAGATATGTTCCTTGGGCCACAGCCATGCTTTGGGGGACATGAGTATCAACTAATTATTTCAGATCACTGAGCTATAATTTTATGTCACAATTGCCTTAATATAGAGAATTGCTTACAGAGTTGGATTCATGTTTTTTCCTCCCTTACACTGAGAAAAAAAAAATTGTGGTCATTTTAATGCAATAAGCCAGTAAAAACTCATTCGATTTTTTTTCTCATTAAGTTTTTTTAAACTAGGTTACCCACAAAAATGGTGCAAAGTTTAAAAACCACAAAATGATATAAGTTTATAAGGAAGTATCCCACCTCTGGTCCCCAGCCACTGGCTCTCACCTCTAAAAGGTGCTGGTTTCCAGTTTTCCGGAGAACACTTCTAGAGGTATTCTGTGCACACACGGTGGACACACACTTGTGCTTCTAAGCTTATTGCAGCCTCCTGCACACCAGAGAGGGTGACATACTTTACTCATTGCTCTATGCTTCATTGTTTCTATTCAATACTATGCCCTAAAGATCTTGTTGTGTTATTACATAGATACTGTTCTCATTTCACATGGCTGTTATATGCATTGTACCATATTTCATCTGATCCCCCAAGGGAGTACACTTAGGTTGTTTCCAAATGTTTGACTTATTACTAATAAAGCCATAGTAAATATCCTTATACCCATATCATTCTGCACATCTGTAGC